ACCTTGAGGAACGATTGTTCCAGCCAGCATAGCTCGATTGGATCATCACGATAGGCAAGCCCGACCACCACGTCAAGGTAGCAGCAACGGTCGGGACGAAGGCCATCATTCAGAAGATACAAGTGTTTATTAACAGTTGTCTACGCAAGATACTTCGGATTCGTTGGCCAGACACTATCAACAACAACCTACTGTGGGAGAAAACAAACCAGAATTCGGCGGAGGAAGAAGGGCTGGAAGTGGATAACGCACACATTGAGGAAATCACCCAATTGCGTCACAAGACAAGCCCCCACATGGAATCCTGAAGGTCAAAGGAGAAGAGGAAGACCAAAGAACACATTACGCCGAGAAATAGAAACAGACATGAGAAGAATGAACAAAAAAATGGATAGAACTAGAAAAGAAGGCCCAGGACAGAGTGGGTTGGAGAATGCTGGTCGGCGGCCTGTGCTTCATTGAGAGTAACAGGCGTGAGTAAGTAGTTTCCTTTCCGTTCCTAATCACTGAGTTCTATTTCCAGTTTACAAATGGGTACTAATACACTACACAAGAAAATATTTGTTTAGAATCGGGTGGATTTATGTAGTGTTTGATCTTAGTTCTTCATTTAAGTGTCTAAATGGGAAAATTCGCATGGGATTTTTAGGGAAAAGCATTATGAGTCTGTCGTCTGAATGTGAGCCAATATAGTCTGGCCAAAAACTTCTGAATAGTGCATTAAGTGGTCACATGACGCATGAGATTTCCGTCTGGTTCAGTTGTTGTCAGTCAAACGGCTACAACGTAGGAGCAGGCACATATGCATCAGTACAAGTTGCCACACCTCATTAGCACAACAAAATGAACATCAACTTCATATAAGTAGTTACTTTAGCTATTCTGCCTATTACGTTATGACTCGTGGCTTCCACTCCGTTTTCTCTCTTGGTGTGAAGTTCTTGATTAACATTGCGTGTTGTGGTTTCAGATCATCTCCGCTTTTGTGACTGTTGATAACACGTGTTACGATATGACTAAATAGCATCTTGAAATTATAACTGACATCAGTTCGTGGTATGAAAAACAACTTGTAAAACCTAGACTTAGTAAATTTCGCTGGTTTATAACACTTTTGACCCTAAAAAATTTCACGCAGTTATTTTACTGCCACTGAGCTAGTTGGGATCAAAAGCAGCCCTATATGGTCATTCAGATAAAACTATTAGAATTATTATGCATGGTACTAATAATGGGGACCTATTCTTTTTATTGCTAGTCGAAGAGGGAAACGAGTTGGGACAAAATAAGCGAACCTAACGTATATTGGACTTGTGGGATAATGTATGAGGCTATTCCGTACATTGCCTTCCTTTTACACAGTATCTGTGTAATTTAATCTGTTGTGCTGCCATGTTATGTCCTCTCTTATCGAGTATTCACTGAATACAGTCTGTGGTTAAACTTTAGATCTTCCCTGTATCCCAGTAAACACTATTTACTTATGTTATACACATGTGAAACGCGTACGGTGGAGTGGAGGAGCGATCTAAAGCTCTGGCTTGAGGCTTCATTTCGAAAGATGGCGGTTCAGAGTCCCAACTCCATCACCACTTGTAACACTTGCAGCATTGACACACTTGATGGTAAAAGGAATCAATAAAAATCAGAAATAACATAAGCGTGAGATTAGGACAAACTGATATCCGAAAATAGTTGTTCGAATGTGCTTCAAACCAACCACAAAAATCCTTGTCATTAGTTTGGACCTAAATGATTGGATATTTAACTTCTAACTATGGACTCCAAATAACATTCACGTATTTCAGATTTAGATTTGTGTAGTAAGGACAGAAGGCCTACGGCTTATGTTATTCCTTTTCTAGTATGCTTCTGTGAATGGCAAGTGTTCTCTTGAATGAGTCAATTGAAAGTGCGGACACCACTGCTTCGGGCATCAGGTTCCAAGTATTGATGACTCGGTGTGAAAACCTGTAAGCCACGGGTATTTTGTTCGTTAATGGCTGTTCTACTGGCCTGTTATGTCCTGATCTAGTGAGAAGAAAAAGAGAGAATAAGTTAGGTTCAAAATTATTTCTCAGGATTCTGTACATCAAAATTAGGTCTCCCCCTAGTCTACGATACCACAGAGTAAAGAGATCCAGCTTTTTAAGCCGCTCTTTTTATATTAAACCCCGGAGTTCTGGAATGGCATGGGTAGCTGCCCTCTGTACATTTTCTAGGATATCCGAGTCATCTTTTAAACAGGGGCATGAACGCAGTTCTCAAGCTTAGTTCTCACAAGGGTTGTGTATACTGTAGTGAACATGGTAGTATGTAACTTAGTTAATAACCGTTTTAAAGCCCAGAGGGTTCTAAACTCCTTAACTGCAACCTACCGGCGATGGGCCGTGGCCATATGATCAGGACTCACTGTCATCTCTAGATCCTTATGAGACCGGACCACGGGTACTCGCACTTCCTCTAAGCTGTACCTATTTACCTTTGTATCCCCAAAGTGCACGTAGACACACTTTGCCGCATTGATAGGCATCAGCCACTCTTCAGACCAGTTAATCACATTATTTAAGTCTGCCTGAAGAGTACATGCGTCTGCGTCTTCAGTTATTTCTCGCTAGATTTTTACATCGTCAGCATATAGTAATATTGGGGACTGTACTATACTTGAGATCATTTACATACAGTATGGAAACTAAAGGATGTAGGATCGAACCTTGAGGTATTCCACTAAGTACTGGTCTTCAGGTGGAGTACTTGGAATTTATTCTTACTTTCTCTCTACGACCTACTAGGAAATACTTGGGCCGGTCCGGCAATACCAAGATTTTCTAACTTCCGTAACAGTCTATTTGTTGACACCTTTTCAAAAGCTTACTGAAGTCTGTGTAAACAACATCCATTGAGTTTCCGCTGTCTAGCGCCTTTACCCAAAATTTCCATGCTATAAGGAGGTTCGTCGTACAAGATAAACCCTTTTTAAAAACATGTAGTTCGTTGTTTAACAGGTTATTGGTTTCCATAAATGTTATTATGGTCTTTTTAATTATTCTTTCCAATATGTTAATTACAACACTGATGAGGATTACAGGTCTGTAGTTTGATGGAAGTTGTCTTGGTCCTGTTTTATGTATGGGAGTGACGATTGCATCCTTCCAGCTCGTGGACAACACCTTGGTCAAGTGACACATTGGATGTCACAATCAGTAGGGCTGGGATTGTAGTTCATCCAGTCCTGTTGATTCTTCCAAAAAATGGATAGAACTAGAAAAGAAGGCCCAGGACAGAGTGGGTTGGAGAATGCTGGTCGGCGGCCTGTGCTTCATTGAGAGTAACAGGCGTAAGTAAGTAATTGACAGTCATTCCCAAAAACTTCCAAAAATCTACAGTACACCAACGTTTAACGTTATGAAAATACAGTGCTTGAGTGTATCATCAAGGTTGTTTCGGCAATGTTTGGCATTGCGTATTTTAAATTTAATGCCCAGCTTCTCACCTACCATCTACATTAAAAATGAACAAATAAAGGGGAACGGTATATGTACTTAAATATTTCACATAACAGCAAAGTAACGTCTAGAATCTCACTGATACATTTGACGTTCAGTGAAATCTTGTTTCATTCATTATGCGTATATTGGTATAAAGTTTGACAATATGTGCTCAACTGGGGCTTATATTTCGGTCGTTCCGACACGACAGTATCGTACATCACTAAATGAGACATTTGAATTTTAACTTGTGGATCGTGGAAATTGAATCTCACTGTCTATCAGAATGTGGATTATCAGGCTGCACAGAATTACGGTTACAAACTGTTTTAGTGATTGAGTTCCATAGAGTTGTGCATTACTAGACAATAGTAAGAATCAACGTGGAAGAATTGTTTACAATTTATTTCAAAGACACAAAGTCAACTGAAGTATGCACAAGTAAAGTAAACTATGTACAATATGGAAGAAGGGGATTTACCAGTCATCCGTAGTGATAGGAGGTATGGACATCTGACTTCAAACAAAAGCTACTCAATATTGATGGATTCAACAGCACGCCGCAACTTTTCCTGGGAAAATAAAATCACGAAGTAAAAATTTATTTATACCGAGGTAATGGCATAAAAATAGTAAGACACATATTTGATGGGTGATTTGCGTGAAATAATCTATTCACATTTCGATAACAATTCATGTAGAGGTCATTATGGAGACTGAAACTTAGTATATACAACCAACTACCTCTCTCTCTCTCTCTCTCTCTCTCTCTCTATATATATATATATATATATATATATATATATATATATATACAGTAACATTAAATAAGCTTGCGTAAAACACTTGGGATCGTGTTTCTTCTAAGGACTGGTAATACTATTTAGAGGGTAAGGTACCTAAATCGGTCAAAACCTCTAATTAGGTTTTACAAATAGTTTTGGGGAAACAACCAGAATATCCTGATAACAGATTTACCATATAACATAGCGGTATCCTATGGAAGGTTTGAAATTAGGTGGTGTATACTTTTGGGTGGGCTTAAGTGAGGGAATTATAGTATATGGATATCTAGGCAAGTGTGTTCTTAGGACTATGAAAATATTTATAATTTTTGTTGGGAGAATATCCTATTACAACACACGATCTGGGCAGAGAAAATCAAATGCATCACCAAAGTACTTACGATGATTGCAGCATTTGAGTTTCCAGCAGTGAGCTCATTCACTGTGTTTGTTTGACCAGTCTCCAGACTTCTTATACATCTTAAATTAACTCCAGATTTCATGTCTAACAGCTTTTTTTTCAACTTCATATGCTCCATCAGCGTTTATAATTCCTACGACAGATACAGGTCTTGGTTTATGACATAAATGTGCTAATTTCTTCCTTGTATGAGTAATGATTATTGGTACTGGTGGTTCACATTCTTTTGCAAGTTCCCAAATCTGGGAAAGTATTTTTTCCAATGCACCAAGAGCTGTTCCAGTTCCGACTTCCTTTTCATCACTTCTAACTGAAATCTCAAAGTTATAATAAAAGAACATATTATTTGATCAAAAAAGCTCACCAATATAAAATTACTGGGGAGAATTAGTCAAAATATTGAAAATACCTTCGGAATGTTACCTGTGGATAAATATTTATTAATCAATAAGCTGTGCACGGTGGATAGTAAGCACACATTAACATTATTAAATGATACCGGCTGGTTTCATTCAATTCGTGATAAAACCTTTTGCTCGAGAGAGAAGCACTGTGGGCTAATTACTGCAAGTGTTGAATACGAATCTGCACTGACTGACCACTTTCTACTAACATACGTATATATATTGTCCCGTTACGATCGGAAGTCATTATTTTACTTAATACACAAATTATATGGGATAAGTTGGCACCAAAAATACAATGCACCACACAGCATAAACATATAACTGGAAAGAAAAGAGAAGCGTAAGCAGTAGAGCCGAGAAAAATTACTAGTGATCAAAAATAATATATAATAGAAGAGACATTTCATTTAACAATAGAACTGAATAAGACACCTCTCAGTTAAGTCCGTTTCATCTTTATGAATGATGTGAAGAAAAACTATGTCAGGATGGCCAGTAGTTTCTATTTGGATCGATGTCTGGTAGGTAATGTCTCAAGCCAATTAATCTCATCAAGGAGTCGTGATGGACTGACGGGTGCCAGTTCTACAAAACTTCCTTTCATACTCCGGCACTATATCATAAAATGACCACCTCTTCGCTTTTTCCAACCAGTCCCAGGGTTCGTTTTGGAAGCCATCGGGTTAACATTCGTAAAACATACCTGGTCTACTGAGCCCGGTGTTTCAGGATGGCAACATCAATTGAGTTATCACTACTGCTCCCGAACAACATTAAACAACAGCATCTCAGAGACAATGATCGAACACAGAGAGTTGCTTGACATCTTTAGCTTGTAGACCTCAGGCTTTCCAAGTATAGAGCAAAACTGCTTTCATTGACGTCGTAAACCTGACCTCTTATAGCTATACTAGCATCACGACAGCAGCAAAGATGACCCAGATTAGCCTAAGTCATTCTGGTTTTTAACACACTAAAATTGATCACTCACATCATCAACACTAACACAATCACCCAAACTAACTTCTCGACTACTTCTAACAGCTCACCACCAGGAGTGAGTGCAAACACGAGCTCCTGCAAATCTTGTAGAAGTACTTTGCATTTAAGTGTAGAGTACATCCCATTCGTAAGGACATAGGCAACTGATGAATTACGACTTACATAGCTTGAGTACCGTGGCAAACCAAAACAATTTTACCCGTGTACTCAAGATTTCGCTGACATAGAGCAGTGTTGGTCTCACGATGTGACATGATTCCAACTTTTTAAAGTCAAACTAACATCAAGGTGTCAAAGAGATCAGAAATCTTTCAACACAAACTTGATGTGAAAATAACATTTCACCACCAAATAAATTGTTCTAACCTAGAAAGGTATATAGAATATATAATGAGAACTTAAATGCGAAGATTAACGACAAGTAATTAGAGAAGAAATATCCAGAGAGCAACTTGTCTTGGGTAGCTGTGATCGTGAAACTATCATAATCGGAGACCATATTCAGCTGCAATAGCAAGATAATTATTTACTGGTCTTGGCTTGAAAAATTTAGGTTTGAAGGGAACTAGAAGTACCGAGTTCTCATTTGTGTACCCAGTCAGTCAGTCACAACGTAGAACTTCGTACATACGTAGATCAGTTCGAGTTGCTATACCACATTAGCACAGAGATACAGTTGTCGATTCAAATCCCATAATGGTAGAGGTAGTAAGAGTATAAGCAGTAATCGGAAAGATTAGGGTTTAAAGATGTTATTCAAGGAGTATAATCCAGTGAAAAAAAATTTGGAAAAAGAAAAAAGAAGGGGACATGCAGAATTCAAAAGATTATATATATATACTAAAACCCAGACGACCTAGCAGTAACTTTTTGAAAGTACAGACATGAAACTACTTAGATGACCACGGCAAGCCTCAGTATTCAACTTGCCTTCTCTGGCATCATTGGTCTTAAAAGCGATTGAGTTTTCAACTAAAGCAATGGATATATACAACTAGAGACTGGAGAGTATTACTAAATAATTACTAATACTCACTTTTATCGTGACATAAATAGCTGGTAGCATTGCCTTCAAGATCGCGAGCCACGAAGACGATTCGCATGTGTTTTAACTTTAAGTGTTTGATTACTTCATGAAAACCACAAACAAGACGCTTTGTTCGTTTGAGATGAAAGGGGCTATTAGCATGAGTTACATATGCTCTGTCTTGGAATGCAACCAATCGTGAAATCAACTCACTCACAAGATAGTTTTCGATTTCCGATGAAGAATTGGGTTCTTTTAGTGAACTATTAAAGCTATCAGGAGTACGGAACTACAAAACTAAAACTATTGAATAGGTCAGTTACCTCTGTGGTTTTCGTCACACTAGGAGATTCAGCGGTCGCAAAAGTAATTTCTACAGGGGCTGGAAGTGACCGACTTCGCTGAGCCTTGCGGATAGCGCGCTCATTCAAAATACAGCGTTTAAGAGGAGTAGGTCGCTTATTTCTAATCACTTCAAGTGGTTTACCTATCCTTTCAATATGCTTTTCAGAAAGAGATTTCTGACGTTGTAACGGGGTTGTGACTTTCAACTCATCATCCGTAATTATAAATTCTCCCAATTCTCTTATAAATGGGGCGTTGAACTGGAAGGATGGCCTCGAGATTTTCAAATTATTATTAGAGACTTTCTTTGATTTCCTATTCCCAGCACTCCTAGGAGTAATGCATTTATTTGCAATGCTGATGTGAGATAATTCCCTAGTCGAGGTCTTTGCACGGATGACTTGTGTGGATTTATTATTTTCTTTCAATGTTTCGGGAACGGCATTACTGGCTTTTGTCCTGTTAATCTGTTTCAAATGTTTAGTATTACGAGATAGTATTGTAAGTTGGACATTATCTATATCAGGAAAGGAGTGAGATGACGATGGTGACTGAAGTAAAGCACCACTACACCGGTCCCCTGTTAAATGAGGTTTCTTATCCTGACTCTTTTCGTATTTGCGTGCAGCTTTAATAGGTGTTGCATAATCCAACTTTTTTGCCCTTTCGTTGTCCGACGTTTTGCACATGTATGTTTCTACTCACGGAACTTTCATTGAATGGTTGAAATTAACACACGGTTACTCTGATTCTTCTTTATGTTTGGGAAATACTGGCAAGTTGGAAAATGAGACGTGAATCAATGTTTGAGTTGTCCTGCTTTCTGTGGAAAAAAGCAACATAGGGGTAACATTATTGTGATTTCCAAATAAAACACTATAAAATGGAGCTCTTGTAAAATATTTGTTGAAAAAAATGTTACTAGTCTATTTTTGTACATCTGATTATCTTATATTAACATGGTAGTGCGAAGAAAAACGGTAAACAACTTCTCAAGATACAAATAATTTTAAATATGCATACAAAAAGCCAACAGTCAGTCGGATTAATAAAAACCCTTTACTAATATCTCATAATAAGTTTTGTCAACCTTCAAAGAGCATTATACAAACTTATCACGAGTAAAATAAGGTTATGTAGTAATCAACGAAAGGTATTTACATATCTTACTGTTACAGTGTTTCAAAACAGATGTTTATGTCTATGCTACACACATTGCTTTCCCGACGTCAAACAAATTCCAAAATTTTACTATAGATGAAGAAATGTATTTGTAGTTGTTGTTAGGTTTTCAACAGAACTAAATTTATTCGGGAATAAATGTATTTAAACTGTCCATAAATTTGTTAAACACTAAGGAACAGTTATAGGCAGTTTATTTTTCGAATTATTCGACTTGATAGACTGAAAACTTACAAACACTGAAGATAATTAGTTACTGTTCTAATTTAAGTAAATGCGCTTACTTTTCGCAAAAACGGTATTCGTAATTGGTGGTAATCTTAATAGTTTTTTGATCAACATAAGGAATAAAGGTTAGAAGGGAGATAATGAATATTCGGGGTTTCGTTAGTCTGTAAATTCCGCACAATGGCCATATCCTGACTGTTTATTTTGTAATTCGTGTCAAGATTTATTCTTCCTATTAGCTGTCAAGAATCCAGCAGGAATGATTCATCTACATAAAAAATTTTCAAACAAATTATTTTCCACAATGATGACAGATGAAACTTGTTTAGATAACAGAGACAGCCATAGGAGCGAATCATTGGATAAGATGGAACAGTAGATGTGCGCTAATTCATTAACGGAATACTGAAAGTTTAACAGCTTGTAGTGAACAGGTGATTCTCTAATATTTCTAGTATTACAATAACTTGTTTCACTTAAGAATTGCTTCAATGTTTTTAATAATTGCACAGAAGAGGTATATTCAACTTGACTGTTCGTCCTCTTTGTAAAGGCAGAGAAATGTGGGATAGAATGACTGTGAGAGGACTTGGCATGAGGACATTATTATTCCACTTACTTTTCCTGATTAACTATGGGATCCGAAGTGGTATTAAACAAAAGCATGATTGCAAGCTAAAGATAGTAGGCATTTAAAATATAGTACATCGATTACTTACAGCTGTAAGAACTTTAGTGAACTATAACGAACAAGTAAGAGTAATCCTCAATGTATGATTTACGAGCTTGGTAACAATACCTTGACAAATATTCCAAAAGCAACCTTATAATCAATTTTGGTATTATAAGGCGGTCAAGATGATGTGGATTTAAGGAAATTGAGGGGGGTCTATTCCCCTTTCCAACTCCACCTGTAGCCCCTCCGGGGGCTACTGACGGTCCCAAGCCCGGATAAAGGAGGAGGTTTTGGCATGGGGTTAGCGACCCCATCCTGTAGAAAACCAACTCGCTGAAAAAACACTAACCAGAAAATACTATTCAAACAACTTAAACTTTGCCATGGGAGTTGAAGGAATAATTATAACGCCTCACGATAAGAGCTGAGTTCCTTTGGAAGTCATGAGGCCGATGCCCCTTCTAACAACCAGAGCAACAATTTTTATAAGTACATGGAACGATCGGACAATGTGGGAGACCGGAAGTCTTCCAAATTGCTGCAGAAATGAGGAAATACGACCTGGAGGTGCTTGGGATCAGTGTAACATACTGGACGCAGATTGGACAACAACGACTAGCTTCAAGAGAGCTTTTGTTATACTCCGGCCATTAAAAAGAAAATGCTACACATACACAAGGAGTTGCATTGATGCTGTCCCAACAAGCACAAAATACACTTATAAGATAAAAATCTCATGAACCAAGGATCATCAAAGCCTCCTTCAAAACAAGGAAAGAGGGCATTACAATGAATGTCATCCAATGCTATGCGCCTACCAATGACTACGATGAAGACGCTGAAGACCAATTCTACGGTAGGCTGCAGTCGATCTTCGAGAGGTGCCCAACAAAGGACCTGACCATGCTGATGAGAGATTTAAATGCCAAGGTTGGAAAGGACAACACTGGATACGAAGACGTCATGAGACAACATCGACTGGGAGAAAGGAACGAAAATGGTGAGATATTGCAAACCTATTTGCCTTTAATAAACTGGTCATAGGTGGCACCATATTCCCACACAAAAACATACACAAAGTCAATCGGATTTCACCGGATCACACTACACAGAACCAAATTGACCATATCTGCATCAACAAAAAGTTCAAGAGGACAATGGAGGATGTGAGAACCGGGAGAGGAGCTGATGTAACATCAGATCATCACTTACTGGTTGCCAAGATGAAATAAAAACTCAAAACGCATTGGACAACTGGGCGGACAACATCACAAAAGTTTAATACGGCCTTTCTTCGGAATAATGAGCAACATATCTACAATCGAAGAACATCTGGAACTCAAAACAATTATCAACCAACACCAAGGTTAGAATTTTCAATACAAATGTCAAAACAGTTCTACTTTATGGGGCGGAAACCTGGAGAACTACGAAGGCCATCAGTCAGTCAGTCAGTCACAACGTAGAACTTCGTACGTACGTACATCAGCTCGAGTTGCCATACCACATTAGCACAGAGATGCAGTTGTCGATTCAAATCCCATAGTGGTGGAAGTAGTAGGAGTATAATCAGAAATCCAAAAGATTAGGGTTTGAAGAAATTATTGAAGGAGTATAGTACAGTGAAATAAATTTGGAAAGAGAAAAACATAAAGACATGAGGAATTCAGAAGATTAGAATTTGGTGGAACACAAAGAGTGGATGCATCTTCGCCATTGCAAACGATTTTCAGCCATGTCATTCAAGGTCTCTAACCATCGGTTGCTGTCATCTCGCGAATCCCAACCAGGTAGTCTACACCTACCAACATGGCCCAGTCCACTTGTCAGTGACTTCATTGATTTGTGCCATGTTTTGGTCTGGCCACCCCTAGCTTTCTTCCAACCTACTCCTACACCATGAAACATTGCACGTCGGGGCAGTCGGTGGTCGGGCATACGTAACACATGTCCCAGCCATCTCAACTGATGAAGTTTCACTACTTCATCAATCGATTTGCCATCCCTACCTAGTACTCGTTTCCTAACAACTGCATTACTTACCCGGTGGTCCCAGGATATACGAGCAATGCTTCGAAGACACCTATGATCAAACACTAGTAGACTACGAATATCCTATACTCTTATTGGCCATGTTTCACTGCCATAAAGTAGGACGGAGCGAACTGCTGCACAGTAAACCCGTCCTTTGGTTGCTAGACGGATATCTCGCCTATGCCATAAATGACGCAAGTTGGCGAAAGCTAGACGAGCCTTCTGTATCCGTGCTGAGATTTCGTCACATACCAGACCACAAGGGCTGATGAGACTCCCAAGATAAGTGAAGTGGTCTACACGCTCAACTACTTCACTCCCTATCATTAGTTCAGGTGTCGCTGCAACCCAATCCTGAAGTAACATTTTGCACTTCGAGGGAGAGAATCGCATTCAGAACATGCCTGCATAGTTGCTTATAGTAGTCAGAAGACTCTGCATGTTGTCAGCGTCTTCACCGAGTAAAACTATGTCGTCGGCGTATTCTAAGTCAACAAGTGAGCCTCCTGGTAAAAGTTCAACTCCTGGAGGTTTAGCTGATGAAAGTGCTATCTCTAAAAGTATGTCAATGACAAAGTTAAACAAGAATGGGGTGAGTGGTCAGCCCTGACGAACGCCACTTGTGGTAATCAGTTCTGATGACAGTTCGCCATAGGCTCTAACTCGACCAGTTGTGCTCGAGTAGAGAGCCTTTATGAGGTTAATGTACTTCTTTGGTACTCCTTTCAGTGACAAACATTGCCATAGAACCTCACGATCAACAGAGTCAAATGCCGCCTTAAGGTCAAGAAATACTACTATTGTGGGACGTCTGAATTTGTGTCTATGTTCTAGAACCTGACGTAGGGTGAATATCTGGTCTATGCAACCACGTCCAGGTCGAAAACCAGCCTGGTTTTCTCTAGTCTGCTCGTCACGAGCTTTGGTTAGGCGACCTAGTATTATTGAAGCTAATATATTAGACACTATATTAGTCAAACTGATCCCTCTGTGATTGTCACAAGAGGACTTTTGTCCTTTCTTATAGACTGGCACAATCAGTGATTGGGACCAGTCAGATGGAATTACGTCCAGTTCCCAGATTCTACCTAAGACCTCAGTCAATCTCACTGCTAGTACTGGACCACCATCCTTAAAAATCTCAGGGGTCAACCTGTCAGGGCCTGCTGCTCTCCCTCGCTTCAGATTTCCTATAGCTTTTTCAACCTCACAGAGGGTTGGAGGACTTACATCAATTTGCCATTCAGGACGACTGGGGATCGTGGGTAATTGAAGTGTGGCTGAAGGCCAGTTGAACTGATCCCTAAAGTGTTCTGCCCATCGATCCAATCTCCTGGATTGAGAATGAATAATATGCCCATCTTTATCTGAGATGGTTTCACTGATATTCGGGTTCCTAATACCGGTTTCTTTAACGAGTCTGAATAGCTGCCTACTGCTACCTATTGCCGCTGCCTTTTCCATCTCTCTTGCTTTCGCTACCCACCACTGTTCACGATCATTACGTAGGCTTCTTATAAGCCTTCGCTTAAGTTGACTCCGCTCTTCGTTATGCTCAGAGCCAGGTGG